AGCACAGGTATTTAAGCAGATCATACAAGTCAAAGGCCATTGAATTAGGGTCACCAATGGGTTGGCCACTGATGCTTGTTCCATTCGTCTGAGGATAGGGGAACACAGACTGAGGGGTCTTATGGTACGTGGTTCTGTCCCTTCCAGGGTTAGGGCTGGAATAAACACAAAGATACACATTTTTTTTACAGATATGCAAAGGAATGCAATGAAGTGGTGTCCATGCTAATAATATAAAGTAAGGGGTAGTTGAAGAAGTGTGCATAGAGAAATTGGCTCATAAAGTCTGAGTTGTGTTCAATGTGGCAAGACCTAGGGAGGTGGCTGAGTGGGGATGCGGGGGCAATAAAAAATTCTTAACTGAGGCCGGGTGCGGTGGCTCACTCCTGTAATACCACTACTTTGGGAGGCTGAGATGGAGGGTCACTTGAGGTCAGGAGTTTGAGACCAGCCTGGCCAACATGGCGAAACCCTGCCTCTACTAAAAATACAAAAATTAGCCGGGCATCATCGCACACGCCTGTAATCCCAACTACTTAGGAGGCTGAGGCAGGAGAATTGCTTGAACCCAGGAGGTGGAGGTTGCAGTGAGCCAGCAGCAAGCCACTGTACTCCAGCCTGGGCAACAGAGCAAACTCCATCTCAATAAAATAAATAAATAATAATAAAAAATCTGAATTGAGTATACGCACAGGTCCCATTAGGAACCACACCAAGTATGTCATATCTGAGACAAGTGGACTGGGAGATGATCACTCTAGCAATTTTAACAAAACTTCATGCTCTTCTCAAATAAGAAAGCAACTGTTAACAAGAATAAACAGTTGGATAATATCTAATCATCTTGTCGAAGAGGTGGAGGAACGTTTTCTCTTCTCAGTCCTTTAACTGGAAAGCTGGCACCATGAACGAGTTGTTAAATTAGCAAGTATGCCAGCACTTTCATTTATTAATTGGTATGTTCCATTTTATTTAAAATCATCCTGGCTAATTACTCATTTCACTGTGTGCAGCACCAGCTGAATAAGCTGGAGGACATGATGAAGGCAAAAATAAATGCTGTACTCTCTCTAGTTTATTCACTTTGAATTGCTTTCCCTTTCACATGTGGTGACTCAAGGGAGATGTAAATTTAACCTTCTATTCTTGCTTCATCTTCAAGTATGTAGTTACAGCAGAAAGAGCATGGGGTATGAAACTCAGGCATGTGGGTTTGGATATTGGCTTTGCCATTTATGAACTGTGTGACAATGAGCAAATATGTAGCATCCCTGATCTTCAAGGTTTCCTATCTAAAAATAGGAATAATAATAGCATGTACTCACTACAAAGAGTTGATGTGAGGGTTAATGAAATAAAATGAAAGACTGGGTATGTAATAGGTGCTTAATAAATGTTTGTCTAACTCTGAACTAGAGAAATCACAATGATTATTGTTATTGTTATGATATAATGTTATAGTTATAATGGTACCATAATTAGTAGCCAACAGGTAACTGGGCACTTATTTCCCAGGCACTGTTCTGAGCGCTTTGGTATGATTTAAGTAAAGAGGTCACATGTGTTAACTCATTTAACCCCTGACAGCCCTAAAACAGAATTTATTTCTCCTACATTACAGAAGAGGAAACTGAGATCTACAGAGAAGGAATAACTTGCTCAAGGTCACAGAATAGGCTTGACACTGGAGCTGAGATTCAAAGCTAGGCATCCCAATTCCAGACTCAGCACTCGTAACCACTTTTTTTTTTTTTTTTTTTTTTTGAGACGGAGTCTCGCTCTATCACCAGGCTGGGGTGCAGTGGCGTGATCTTGGCTCACTGCAACCTCTGCCTCCTGGGTTCAAGTGATTCTCCTGCCTCAGCCTCCCAAGTAGCTGGGACTACAGGCACATGCCACCACGCCTGGCTAGATTTTGTATTTTTAGTAGAGATGGGGTTTCACCGTGTTGACCAGGATGGTCTCAATCTCTTGACCTTGTGGTCCTCCAGCTTTGGCCTCCCAAAGTGCTGGGATTAGGTGTGAGCACCCGGCCATCTTAAGCACTTCTTTACTAAGATTGCAGGGTTGCAAAGAAGACAGAGTTGAGCTGTCTGGATGGCAGAATGTAGAGAATTTATAAAATCTAGGGATGGGAGAGATTAGATGTTTTGGGATGTCCATCTAGCCCCCACTTACCCTTGCCTTTGAACATATTTTGGGGTTCCTGGAAACCTTCCAGGTGACCCATGTTAGGCCAGATAGAATTAGGGACTGAGGCACTGAGTGTCTCTTGTTTTTCTATGTCTGTGTCAATCAATTCAAGATGTTTCTTGTTGCAATAATGATAGGATATAAAAGAGAAGGTTTACATCCTTCTGGCTTTGAGGTAGTTAGCTGTGTTTGTTCCTTACTGCCCTTTTTTTTTTTTTTTTTTTTGACACAGTCTCACTCTGTCGCCTAGACTGGAATACAGTGCCACAATCTCGGCTCACTGCAACCTCTGCCTCCCAGGTTCAAGCAATTCTGCCTCAGCTTCCCAAATAGCTGGGATTACAGGCATGCACCACCACATTTGGCTAATTTTGTGTTTTTGGTAGAGATGGATTTCACCATTCTGGCCATGCTGGTCTTGAGCTCCTGACCTCAAGTGATCCACCCGCCTCAGCCTCCCCGAATGGTGGGATTACAGGCATGAGCCACTGCGCACCCTTGTCCTTCTTGAAGCTGATTTATTCAGTGGCTTCAGAGATTCCCTGAGATCTGTACCTTGTCAATAACTTATTTTATTCGAGCCAGATATATTTAACTAGGACTCTGAACATGGATACTATAAATTACACCACTAAGAAGGAAGGGGCAATATCTCCTTTGCTAAGCATCCTGCCCCGTAAATTGTGTGGCCCTGAGTGTGCTCAGATTGACCTCAGTTGGACTGGGCAGGTCTGGGAGAGTTCACGTACACAAACAGTTTGGAAGGGAGGCTTTCTGCACTGTCAGAGAGGTCAACCATCTACCCGGCAATTACATTGCTGTCAGATTGCAAATACACATTTGCAAATGCTTCTGTAATGGTTCAGAAATAGTTCAGGCCTGTTCACGCAGGGCTGGTTACAGAATGTTAATGGGGAAGCATACCCAACATCTGCTTTCATGCTTGGAGCCAGATTTCTGACGCTTAAACATATATGGGTATAAAGCAGCCAATCAGGTATTTGGCTTTGCCAACTCAGAAAAGAAAAACTCAGCAGCAGTGGACAGCTGCATGGCTGATTGATAGGTTTGTTGTGGGCATCACATTTTCAACTATAACAAAGTCTTATTAAAAATGGTTTGGTTCTCTAGAAAGCTAATAACAATAAGATGTGAAATTGCCGTCACAGAATTGTGGTTATGTTGCTTGACTTACTTGCCTCTCTGGCCTCAAGGATGATTCATATAATTAAACAAAACAACCCAGGCTAACTCTGAAGCATGATATATGGAGATGCCCACAAAAGAAGTAGAAGATCTCAAGGTGCATTACAGAATGTCTGTCTTTTTGTCTTCTGATTTGGGGCTGATGCTCTGAATCATTGTTTTTCTGCCCTCATCATCTCTAAACATACATCATTATCCCTCCCAAATGGTAGGCATAGAAGCCTCTCATATTCCTCAATTTCAGCTGCCCTGGATGGTGATTGCTGAACCCCACCTCCCACCCAGGGAGGGCATCCTATGTGTTTCCCAGAACCTACATGTAAGGTATCAGATCAGTTGGGCTCAGTGGCTCATGCCTGTAATCCCAGCACTTTGGGAGGCCAAAACGGGTAGATTACCTGAGATCAAGAGTTTGAGACCAGCCTGACCAACACAGTGAAACCCCATCTTTACTAAAAATAAAACAAAATTAGCTGGGCGTGGTGGTGGGCACCTGTAATCCCAGATACTTGGGAGGCTGAGGCAGGAGAATTGCTTGAACCCTGCAGGCGGAGGTTGCGGTGAGCCGAGATCACGCCACTGTACTCCAGCCTGGGTGAAGGAGCAAGACTCCGTCACAAAAAAAAAAAAAAAAAACCAGTGTCAAATCATCCCCATTTCTAACTGCTTACAACACTTCAAGTTCAGATGAATATTCTAGCTATTTTCAGGTGTTGGAGCATACTGGTTAGTTCTGCTATAGAAAAGTGACTCCAAATTATAGTGGCAGAGAGATGACACCGAATTTTATTCTTTTCTGATGTAACAGTACCAAGGGAAGAGCCCAGGTTAGAAGGTTACTTTGTTCCACAGAGTCGTTCATTGATTCAAGCTCTGACATCTTTTGGTTCTGCCATTCCCCCAGGAAAAGTCCTCATCTGTATGGTCAAGGCTGGGTTGCAGACAAGTCCACATTGCAGCTCATGGAAAAAAGAACTAGAGGGACTCTAGGGAGACTGGCTTATCTCTTAAGTTGGAGGTGACCTGGAAAGTCAACTTTCACTCATAACTCATTGGCCTAAACTAAGTCCCAGAGTTAACTTGAATGGCAAAGCATCTGGAGTAATGCTGTTTCTACCTGGAGTGCTGTGGACCCAGCTTAAACTCTACCACCATAGGGGACAGGGAACATAGGTTTTGATGGATGTCCAAAAGTTTGTTACATGTAATAACAGATTATATATATATATATACACACACACACAGCCATCCGGATGCAGTGGCTCACATCTATAATCCCAGCACTTTGGGAGGCCGAGGTGGGTGGAGCACCTGAGGTCAGGAGTTTGAGAACAGCCTGGCCAACAGGGCAAAACCCTTTCTCTACTAAAAATATAAAAATTAGCCAGGCATAGTGGCAGCTAGTGATCCCAGCTACTTGGGACGCTGAGTCAGAAGAATCACTTGAACCCAGGAGTGGGAGGTTGCAGTGAGCCGAGCCAAAATCATGCCACTGCACTCCAGCCTGGGTGACAGAGAGAGACTCTGTCTCAAAAAAAAAAAAAAAAAAAAAATATATATATATATATTTCCCTCCTACAAATAAGGTAAATGCTACATGGTCACATATTCAAAAAATCTTTATTAAGGGCCTACTATGTGCCACATATTCTTTCTTATATGTGTAAGAAATATATTATTAACATATTTTGGGTAAAAATATGCAACACTATAAACATATTTTTCATTTTTGAATAGCTTTTACTTTTTCAGACAATAGAAGGCAACTGGAAAAGAGGCAAAGATTCTAACTACATACTGCAGAAAAAATATTCACACCTGTCAAATTCCAACAGCTGGCGTTATTGTTGTTCTATGGATAAGCACATACAGAATCCTCGTGGATAGTTCTTTGTCTCTTGGTCTCATAAATCATAACTTGCTTGTAGCTTTTTTATGAACCTTCAGGAATAACTCTTCAGAGGATGATAATACATCATTAAGATTAAATTGAACCTCAAAGGTGGGTTTTTTTCCCAAAATGATAAAGGCCACCAACACTGCAAGGTTTGCCGTCATTCCCTTGATCTGGTAAGTGACACCATCTTCAGGGTTTGTGTACTCAAAGATATGATTAATAAAACGGTGACCGAGACGTGTGACGTAATGGTGGTCATGGACCTGTGGATGCAGGAAATAGGCCAGAGGCACCAGAAATACATCCTTAACTTCAGCAGGATTCGGCTGGGCCTGGAAGTTGTGGTCTATTAAACCCACAAATGGAGTTATCAATGCATCTGTCTAAAAGCAGAAAACAGAATAGAGAAATTAAGAAGTGAAGTGATATTGTTTCAAATACTAAAATCATGCCACTTCTAGGTGAGCTAAGAAAATACACCAAACCTGGGAGAAGGGGAAGAAAGCTTACTCTGGAAGTAAATATATGTTCCCCCTAAAATGGGAGTCATCCTGCCCTACCTGAAGTGGCATCTATGAGATGACTCTGAAAATGATTTCTTGTATGAACATAACGTAGTACAATCTTTTGGAATGGCAATTTGGCAGTATCATAAAAACGTGTTCCCTTTGACCTGGGAATTGCATTTGTGTATCTGTATGATAAATTTCTACCGGTAAGAAAAGACACAAGTATAAACCTGAAGCATTACTTTCAACAACAGCCCAAAATTCTAAAGTTATCACTCTTCATTTTATAGGCATTTAAGTTATATAAATTAGGTTTATATCCATAAAATAGGATACTATGTAGCCTTTAAAAAGAATGGGATAGACACCTTTCCTTCTCAGTAAAGAAAAAAATATGCTATACTTATGAACAGAAAAGTGATATAATACTAGTTATGACATATTCCCATTTATGGAAAAAATTTATATGTACATATAAATATGTGTCATATACAACTATGTGAATTATTTTATATAATACACATGTTTATATTACATGGGCGAGGGATTTCTGTTTACAACCACAACTGCTTGCAAATGAACATGAGTGGACAGGTGCGGTGGCTCACGCCTACAATCCCGGCACTTTGGGAGGTCAAGGTGGGCAGATCACCTGAGGTCAGGAGTTTGAGACCAGCCTGGCCAACATGATGAAACCCCATCTCTACTAAAAATACACAAATTAGCCAGGTGTGGTGGCACGTGTGTGTAATCCTAGCTACTTGGGAGGCTTGAACTCAGGAGGCGGAAGTTGCAGTGAGCCGAGATCATGCCACTGCACTCCAACCCGGGTGACAGAACGAGGCCCAGTCTCAAAAATAAAAATAGATAAATAAATAAAAACAAGAAAGCAAATGAACATGAGTGCTATAAAATGAAAGACTATTTTGTTATACTGGAAACCCTGAGAGGGAGGCCTGGGGCTGAGTGAGGATGTGGGATCTGGTAAGAGCTGCCCGACTTTGTATTAGAAAGTGAGAAGAATTGGAATTCCTGGAGCATCCCAAGAGAAAGTGGGTGGGAAAAGCAAGAGAGGTAGACACATGGTGAGGCTGGGACCTATCCAGGCTGCAGAACATTCTCAGAGGGGCAGCTAAAGACAGGAAAGCAAATTTAGGAACAGAGACAACTCAGACCATTAACCAAAATAATGGTGAAAGTCAACATCTGGACCAGGAGGAGACAAGAGGAACATAGACTTCATATGTCCTTGGGCAGGAAATCTGGGGTCATTAAGTTACCCAAGGGCAGAGGCAACATTCTATCAGCACCTAACACCACACCTGGCAGTGGGGGAAATGCTTAGTCTCTGAATATGGAGTTTTTCAGGTGGACTCTGAGATAAGGACTCAGATGCAAGTGATGTTTTAAGAAAGTGCTCCCAGGGGAGACAGGTAAGGGGAGGAGGGGAGCAAGACTCATAAGGGAAGAAGGCTGGCAAGGGCACCATGGGGTGTTCTGGAGGGTAAATTAAAATGCAGTTTGTCCCACGTGGAGACAAGGGAGCTGGGATTTCATGCTCCCTAGCCCCAGTCAGTCACTGGTTAAGGACTGCCTTGCCAGAAGTGACTCCACAGGCACTCCCAGCTCTCTGTGCAGGACACATGGCAAGGTGGCTCCAGTATCAAGGGTACCAGCCTTCAGAAGAAAGCCGCCAAGTGTTGTCACAGGCGTTGGAACCAGAGCAACTCCGTCTTGAATAGGAGCTGGGTAAGATAAGGCTTGGACCTACTGGCCTGCATTCCCAGGACGTTAGGGCACGCTTAGTCACCAGACGAGACTGAGATACAGGTCACAAAGACCTTGCAGTAAAGAAGGCCGTCGAAACCCACCAAAACCAAGATGGCAACGAAAGTAACCTCTGGTCATCCTCACTGCTCATTATATGCTAATCAGAATGCATTAGAATGTTAAAAGACACTCCCACCAGAGCCATGACAGATTACAAATGCCATGGCAATGTCAGGAAGTTACCCTATATGGTCTAAAAAGTGAGGAACCCTCGGCTCTGGGAATTGCCCACCCCTTTCCTGGAAAACTCATGAATAACCCACCCCTTATTTAGCATATGATCAAGAAATAACCATAACAATGGCCAACCAGCAGCACATGCTATTGCTCTGTTATGGAATAGCCATTCTTTTGTTTCTTTACTTCTCTAATAAACTTGCTTTCACTTTATGGACTCACCCTGTGAGATCCAAGGACCCTCTCTTTAGGGTCTGGATCGGGACCCCTATCTGGTAACGGTGAGTTATCAGAAGCCCTGCGGTTGTAAGAGGAATACGAAGGGGCCTGGACAGAGCCCCAACAATGCATGCTTAGTAAATATTCGTGATTGCTGCTACCATTAGTGACCACAACTTATGGGCACCTAGTCTAGTTCCCAACACCCTCTGATTCCTTACAACAATCTGCTCTTGAAGAAGCCTTAACAACTGCAATTAGAGACGTGAAGAAACTTGCCCAAGGGCACATCCTGTAAATACTTGGCAGAAACTGGATTCAACCACAGACATGTTGCTCATACTCCTGGGTATATTTCAGAGACCTTTGCAAAAAGAAGTACAAAAACGTTTGGCAAAAGGGAAAACTGGGGTGGGGGTTGTGGTGTCACTGCCTGCCTGGAAGGTTTATGTAGCAGGTACATACATAGGTAGCTACTCTGGAGGCTGAGGCAGGAGAACTGCTTGAACTAGGGAGGTGGAGGTTGCAGTGAGCCGAGATCACTGGGACTCGAGATTACTTGGGAAAAGCCAACAGCACCCTCCCAGCTATGATCTCCAGACATTACCAAATTCCCCAGGGTGGAAAAATCACTCCAAGTTAAGAGCCACATAGATTAGATGATGCTTATAATTTTTAATAAATGACATTTTTGTGATACATTTTAAAAATTAGCAGGGGCCAAAAAAAACAAAGTAACCCTCCCTTGTGCTTCCAAACACAGCAGACCTTTCTTTAAAGCCTTTGTTTAATCTCTCAGTCATGCCATTTTAGAAATCTCCTATTCCAGGAGTATCTGGCCCCCAGGAATCTCCCGGAAACACATTTTCCTGTTAATGCCGCTGAATTCTATCCACCCACATGTGGAACTCAGTAGCACCTGGGGACTTTGGGAATGGAGTTAGTCTCATTTTGGAAACTTTTAATCAGTATAGCTAAATTTGTTAATTGATTTCTAAAGTAAATCCTCCAAATGCTGGTGGATTTGCAGAAATCAACTGAAAAGAGTTCCCATTAGAAAACAAAATGGAAAAGTAACTGACACATTTCTTGTGTAATTCTATGTCTCTACCTCGCTTTCATACACACACACTTAGAAAACATTTATTTAGTGGCCACTAGCTTCTTGCAAACAAAACCACCCTTGGGTGCTGACCTTTCTATTTTTAAAAAAGACCCAATTAAGACAGACATTGTCTCAGCATCACTGATCTTCAAAACACTGTACCACCAAGAGTTTAGTCAAATGGCACATAAAGGATGATCTAACCCACTGGTTTTCTAACTGTTAGGCAACAGTGGGACTGTTCTTTTGAAATAAAAACTTACCCGAAAGCCCAGTATATAAAACATTAAGAGTTTATACCTACCCCTGATATCGTGTGATGAGAGCACTTCACCTCTCTGGTGTTCCCAAATTATGACCCCAGCTTAACAATGAGAAAAATACCAGACAAACCAAAATTGGGGAACATTCTAAAAATACCTGGCCACTATATCTCAAAACTGTCAGGGTCATGAGAATAAGAAAGTCTGAGAAACTATAACGGACCAAAAGACTAAGGAGACATGACCACAAAATACAATATGGTGTCTTAGATGAGATCCAGGACAGAAAGGAGGACATTAGTAGAAAAACTAGTAAAAAGCAAAGAGAGCATGGAGTTCAGTTAATAGTAACATGCTGACATTGGTTTCTTTGTTGTGACAAATGTATGCAGTGATGTAAGATGTCAACAATAGGGGAAACTAGGTCTATGGCGTATAAGAACTCTCTGTACTATCTTCACAATTTTTCCATCAGTCTACAGCTATTCTAAAGTTAAAAGTTTTATTAAAACATTTATATAGTAAAATCATGCTGTTATCCAAGATCATACTTATTAATACAATATTTACCCCTTCTAAAGTCAATTAGTACAACAATGAGGTTGTTATGGTGAACCAATAGAAAGTAAGATCTGAAGCTGAGCACAGTGGTTCACACCTGTAATCCCAGCACTTTGGGAGGCTGAGGTGGGAGGATCGCTTGAGGACAGGAGCTCAAGACCAGCCTCATCAACATAGCGAGACCCCTATCTCTATAAAAAATAAAATAAAAAGAAAATAAGATCTGGGTATATCAGCTCCAACATTCATTTTAAAAAATATTTTAAATATGTTTTGATGTATATTATACTATCAAGGAAATCCTGATCCAAGACAAATGCAGTTATGAATAGTAATAGTTTTTAAATAGCTTGCCTAGTGATTTCATGGTTCTATTCAATTAATCTGTTACAGAGAGGCTTTATTCTATAGTATGTATAAAAATGAGATCTTTATGGCAGAAGTAATGCATTGGTGGTCTCCAAGGGGCTAAAATTTGGTATCCAGCACATTGGAGTGTGTGTTATTTTTTCAACCAAACTCTCAAAATCAATGTATACTGGAGAAAAATAAATGTGAACTGAATGTTAATAACTCTGAGGCATCTCTCTAGGGTTCTATGGCACCCAGTTTGAAATCCACTGATGGGAGTTCAACCCTTTTATATCTGGATGGGGTCCAGAGAAGCAAAAGGGGTTGCCCACAGCCACTTGGCTCACGAGGGGCAATGTCCACTGGAGAACCTGTTCTCTTATGTACATACTCTTTGGGGTTACGTTTGGAAAATGTGGAATCCTGAGAACAGTAGATCCACCTGGGGGTGGGGACGGCGCTCGAGTGTCTGAGGAAACCCTTACATCAATAAGACATGGCACCAGGCAGCAGACAACTTCCACTTGATGAGGACGCAGCCCCACTTCCTCCTGGGCTTCCCGGAGAGCTGTGGCTGCATCATCCATGTCTGTAGGGTCACGCTTACCTCCAGGGAAGCAAACTTCTCCAGGGGCCCTTCTTAGCTGGATATAGAAAGAACAGCACTACAATGTGGGATTCTAATTTTGGAACTATTTATTCATTCAACAAATATTTACTGAACTTCGATTTTGTACCAGAGACCATTCCTACCTAGGTGGTGGTATCAAAATCCCCATTGCCCAGAAATGTGTTTTCTTGAATTCTTTTAAAGAAATGAACCTTGAAAATTTTTCTCACTGCTAACTTTTATTCTATTTCTCCGCAAAACATACCACACACTGTATTAATCTGTTCTTGCACTGCTATAAATAAATAGCTGAGACTGGGTAATTTACAAAGACAAGAGGTTTCATTGGTTCACAGTCCCGCAGGCTGTGCAGGGAACATGATGCTAGCATCTGCTCGGCTTCTGGGAAGACCTCGGGAAACTTGCAATCATGACGGAAGGCAAAGGAGAAGTAAGCATTTCACAAGGCTGGAGCGGGAGGAAGAGAGCGGGAGCGGAGGTGCCACACACTTTAAACAACCATATCTTGTGAGAACTCACTCACTATTGTGATGACAGTACAATAAAGAAATCCACCCGCATGATCAAATCACCTCCCACCAGGCCCCAAGTCCAATATTGGGGATTACAACTGGACATGAGATTTGGATGGGGACAGAGATCCAAACCATATCACACATACACAAACGGATTGACATTGCTAGGGGAAAAAAGCTGAAAGAATAATATAAGGGGCAATATTATCAACAGATAATTTTGTGGAGTCCTTTATTGGGTGCTTATCATGTTCTGGGCATGCTGTTTCACAGAGATTTTTTACCCACTGGGTCCTCAGAACAGTTCCATAAGCTACTAATTTTTGATTGAGGTGAAATTCATATAAAAGTAACCATTTTATAGTGAAGAAAATAAGAGACATTTAATACATTTACTGTGTTGTACAATCATCCCCACCATCTCGTTCCAGAATATTTTCATCATTCCAGAAGGAAACCCCATACAACAGTTGATTCTCATTCCCCTCTCCCTCTGTCCCTGCTTCCTGTCTCTGTGGATTTACCTAGTCTCGACTTTTGTGTCTGGCATTTTTCCCTTCACATATGTTTTTGAGGTTCTTCATGTTCTATCGTGTATTGGTACTTCCTTTTTTATGGCTGAATAGTAGTCTATTGTATGTATATATCACAGTTTGTTTATCTTCTCATGCACTGATGGGCAGGTAAGCTACTCTTTTCTTTCTCTCTTTTTTTTTTTTTTTTGTGATACGGAGTCTCGCTCTGTCGCCCAGGCTGGAGTGCAGTGGCATGATCTCGGCTCACTGCAAGCTCCGCCTCCCGGGTTCCCGCCATTCTCCTGCCTCAGCCTCCCGAGTAGCTGGGACTACAGGCGCCTGCCACCACGCCCGGCTAATTTTTTGTGTTTTTAGTAGAGCCGGGGTTTCACCATGTTAGCCAGGCTGGTCTCGATCTCCTGACCTCATGATCTGCCCTCCTCGGCCTCCCAAAGTGCTGGGATTACAGGCGTGAGCCACTGCGCCTGGCCATAAGCTACTCTTATACTATTATTATTTCTACTTTCAGACAGGGAACTTAGGCTCACAGAGGTTAAATAACCTGCTCAAGTTCACTCAGTGAGCTGGAATATAAACCAGTGTTTAATTTACGAGCTTGTGGTTTTAATCAGTACCACCTACATTTATCAAAAGTTTAGTAAGACACAGATAATTTGGGCCCTGGAGCTATTAGCATTGTATTGGCATCTATGTTTATCTTTGCGTGTGTTGGTAAAGGAATAGAGGTCTCCTCTTTCCCTGCATTGCCTCCTTCCTTGATTCCATTCCTTCCTGCCTTTAGGAGAACTGACTGTGTCTCTATTTATAGCATCCTAAAATTACTCCCTTTCTTATCTCTGTCTTGAAAATTATTTCTCTCATATCTTGGGCAGAAGTGGAGAGGCACAAACGCTCCACTGTTCTCTCTTCTGCAGGGCCAAATATCTCAGCAAAGTGACCTCAATTTCTTTTATGCCCACTCGTGCCTAGTACCCACTATCCTTTCTCTCCTGAATTGTCCAGGAGCCCTCAGGCTCAGCAAGAGTCCTGGGTCTGCCTCTTTCCAACTGTGTGCAATGGGGTAATGACAGTCTGCTCCTCACAGAGCTGTGAAGATTGTTCCATGAGGAACATGGATGCACGGGATTGGTGCCTGGCCACATTAAATATTTAATAATGAGAACTCGTAAGGTCAGTCCTGGACATTGAGAAGCTCAGTCAAGAGATCATGTTGCCGTTGTTAGCACCTAGGCCAATATATCTATGTAAGGAGAAACTAGATGCCTGCAATGGCCTGGTTGTTTATTCTCCCATGAATCCATACGTTGAAATCCTCACCCCTAAGGTGATGGCATTAGGAGGTGGGGCCTTTGGGAGGTGATTGGGTCATGAGGGCAGAGCCCTCATCAATGAGATTAATGCCCTTATAAAAGAGGCCTGAAACAGACCTTTTGCCCCTTTCTCTGTAAGGACACCGAAAAGATGACTATCTATGAACTGGAACAGGGCCCTCACCAGACACCAAATCTTCTGGCAACTTCATCTTGGACTTCGCAGCTTCCAGAACTCTGAGAATTAATATCTGTTGTTTATAAGCCACCCAGTCTAAGGTGTTTTGTTCTAGCAGCTTGAGAGGACTAAGACAATGCCATGACACACTTTTTGACATTTTATAGTCCACAGCCTCATTGGGGCAAGGCTCAAAAAAATTTTTTTAAGTCCGTCTGTGCTGATAAATCAGTAACACTGCAGAAATTGCTGCCATAGCTAAATACTTAAGACATCTTCACCTCAATTACAGTCGTGAGAACAGGTGAAAAGAAGGTTGATGGACATATTTCTACTGTCTTGAACAAACGCTCACCACCCACTGCAAATGTGTCTCACCAAATGCATAAGAAATACACCTAATGTTAGAGCAACTCTGCAAAAGTGCTTTATTGTTAGAATGTTCAACTCCAAGGCAGCCAGGGACAGAGGCACCTCCAAGCAGTCATCAGGCTTGACAGAAATACAGACCTGATATGATGCCTGTTTTAAATGTACAGTCAGGGACACATTCTGAAAAATGCATTAGGCGATTTCATCATTGCACAAACAACACAGGGCGCACCTGCACAAACCTGGATCGTATAGACTACTGCAAACCGAGGCTATACAGTGTAGCTACTGCTTCTGGGCTACAACTTGTATACCATTTTACTGTCCTGGATATTGCAGGCGATAGTAACATAGTGGTAAGTATTTGTGTATATAAACACAGAAAAGGTACAGTAAAAATATGGTATAAAAGATCAAAAATGGTTCACCAGTATAGGGCATTTACCATAAATGGAGCTTGCAGGACTGAAAGCTGCTCTGTGTGAGTCAGTGAGTGAGTGGGTGGTGAGTGAATGTGAAGGCCTAGGACTTTAAACACTGCTCTAGACTTTATAAACACTAGACACTTAGGCTATAGTATGTTTATAAAAATATTTTTCTTTTCTTTTTTTTTTTTTTTTTTTTTGAGATGGAGTCTCACTCTGTTGGCCAGGCTGGAGTGCAGTGACGTGATCTCAGCTCACTGCAGCCTCAGCTTCCCGAGTAGGTGGAATTACAGGCAGCTGCCACTATGTTTGGCTAATTTTTGTATTTTTAGTAGAGATGGGGTTTTGCCATGTTGGCCAGGCTGATCTCGAACTACTGACCTCAGGTGATTCTCTCCACCTTAGCCTCCCAAAATGCTGGGATTACAGGTGTGAGCCACCACCCCTGGCCTTTTTCTTTTTTGAATAATAAATTAACCGTAGCTTACTATTACTTCTTACTTTCTAGACTTTTTAATTGTTAATTTTTTGACTCTTGTAAGAACACTTAGCTTAAAACACAAACACATTATACAGCTATACAAAATATTTTCCTTATACCTTACTCTAGAAGCTTTTTTCTATTTTTAAGGATTTTTGTTTTTCTTTTTAAACTTTCTTGCTAAAAACTAAGATACACCACACAGAATCATCAATGTCACTGTATTCTACCTCTACTTCTTGTCCCACTGGAAGGTCTTCAGGGGCAACAATAACATACATGGAGCTCTCATCTCCTACAATGACAATGCCTGTGTTTTTGGAATACCTCCTGAAGGACCTTACTGAGGCTGCTTTATAGTTATTTAAAAAAAATAAGTAGAAGAAGAGCACTCTAAAATAATGATTTCAAAGAATAGTGTTGTAAATTTCATAAACCAGAAGTGTCATTTTTGTCATTATCAAGTATTATATATTGTGCATAATTGTATATGCTATACTTTTAGACCACTGGCAACACAGTAGGTTTGTTTACACCAGCATCACCACAAACATGTGAGTAATGTATTGTGCTATGACATTATGACTGCTGTGATGTCACTTGGTGATAGGAATTTTCAGCTCCATTATAATCTTACGGGACCACCACTGTATATATGGTCCATCATTGATGGAAAAATGCTGTTTTGTAGCACGTGACTGTATTTTGAAAGGTTTCAAAACTATCTCATAGCATACCAATTCTACTCAAGTTGCCTTGTACACCTATTCCAATTAATAGGTAATAGGAATTGGAAAAGACCATTCTGGCTTAGTGAGAACACTACTCTCAAGAAAATGTTATCCTTGGTCTAGGCAATGATTTTTAAAATATGACCCCAAAAGCACAGGCAGTGAAAGGAAAAATAAAAACATGGGCTTACACCAACTAAAAAGCTTTTGCACAGCTAAGGAAACACTCAACAGACTGAAAAGACAATCTATGGAATGGGAGAAAATATTTGCAAACCATAAAAGGGGCTAGGATCCAAAATATATAAGGAACTCAACTCAATATCAATAATAAAAAACACCCAATTAAAAAATGGACAAAGGACCTAAATAGACATTTCTGAAAAGGTATATTAAAAAAATGCTTAACATCACTAATCACCAGGAAAACTCTAAAACCACGGACAGACATTACCTCACACCTTT